GGCACTGATGAGGTTTAAGGTCCCTCCCAAGCCAGACCAGTGTGGGGTTCCACAGCAGAGCTGGCCCTGGTGCAATGCTGTATGGATGGAGATCTGTCCATCGTGTGTCCGTCCGTCTGTCCAGCCCCCGTGCTGACCCTGCCCGTTCCCAGCAGCTGGAGCCACAGGCCAGGCTTATCTGGGGCTGCAGCCCGGGGCTATCGGACCGGCCCTGGGGAGGGGCTCTGGGTGCCCGGGCCGATAGGGGGGAGCAGGCCCAGCCCGGCCGGGGGTCCCGGCTGATAGCCCGGGATGGGCCAGCAGCCGAGCCCCGGGGCCAGCACAGCTCCAGGGTGGGCACGGGGCTGGGCCGGGCTGTGGGCACGGCTGCAAACCCTGCCTGCCTCCCTTGGCCCTCCCTTCGCAGCCCACACACCGTGGCCCTGCCTTGGTGTCCCTGCCTCGGTGTCCCCTCAGTGTCCCTGCCTCAGTGACCCTGCCTCAGTGACCCTGCCTCAGTGACCCTGCCTCAGTGACCCTGCCTTGGTGTCCCTGCCTCGGTGTCCCCTCAGTGTCCCTGCCTCGGTGTCCCCTCAGTGTCCCTGCCTCAGTGTCCCCTTGGTGCCCCTGCCTCAGTGTCCCCTCAGTGTTCCTGTCTCAGTGTCCCTGCCTCAGTGTCCCCTCAGTGTTCCTGTGTCGGTGTCCCTGCCTCAGTGACCCTGCCTCAGTTTCCCTGCCTCGGTCTCCCTGCCTCGGTGTCCCCTCAGTGACCCTGCCTCAGTTTCCCTGCCTCGGTCTCCCTGCCTCGGTGTCCCCTCAGTGACCCTGCCTCGGTGTCCCTACCTCGGTGTCCCCTCAGTGTCCCTGCGTCAGTGTCCCTGCCTCAGTGTCCCCTCAGTGTCCCTGCCTCAGTGTCCCTGCCTCAGTGTCCCCTCAGTGTTCCCTTGGTGACCCTGCCTCAGTGACCCTGCCTCAGTGACCCTGCCTTGGTGTCCCTGACTCAGTGTCCCCTCAGTGTCCCCGCCTCAGTGTCCCCTCACTGTCTTTGCCTCGGTGTCCCCTGCAGCCCGGGGCTCTGCTGGCAGCCACGGCCCGGGTCCCTGCTGTGCTGAGATGGAGCCCAGCAAGTTCAGGGGCAGAGCAAACCTCCAGGAGAAGCTCTGCCCTCAGGGAGCCTGTCCTGAGGCAGCCTGGCTGCAGTGAGAATCTGCTTTTGCCCCTGTCTGGATGGTTTTTCCTGAGTTCTTGTGCTGAGGGATAACTCAGACGCACATTCACTAAAATTTAGCTTTTCCTCAGACATCCTGGCCCTCAGGCCTCACCTTGTGCCTCTCATCCTGTCCCCTGTCCCCTGTCCCTGTCCCCTGTCCCCTGCACCCTCTGCAGCAGCTCTGGACCCTCGAGCCCGTGGCACTGGGCTGGCTCCAGTGCCACATCCTGCTAGGTCCCTTTGCAGGGACTCGGGGACAGGGATGGACAGACAGGGTCAGGGCAGGTCTGCTGTGCCCAGCAGGTCCTTGGGCATTTCTGCTGCATCCAGCCCCCAGCAGTGTCCCCAGGACCCACATTCCACACCCAGGAGATTGCCTATGAAACTAAAATATCGTGAAAGGCTCCAAGGAAATTAAAACATGTTTGTATGAGAAGTGAGGCACGTGTTGGGATTCCTGGGGTGCTCTTGGTCCTGTGTAGGGTCAGAAGCTGGACACAATGATCCTTGCAGATTGTTTTTTAGGAAGAATTTCCCCATGGAAAGGGTGCTCAGGCCCTGGCAGGGGCTGCCCAGGGAGCTTTGCAGTGCCCATCCCTGCAGGTGTCCCCTGGAGGTGGCACTGAGTGCTCTGGGCTGGGGACAAGGTGGGCATGGGGCCCAGCTGGGACTCCCTGGGCTGGGAGGGCTTTGCCAGCCCCGGGATTTGGGGATTCTGTCCCTTTCAGCTCAGGTTATTCCATGTTTCTGTGATTACATGGCATGAAGGTCAAGCTGGAGCAGTCAGAGCAAGGGGTGCTCCACACCTCTTGGAGTCAGACCTAAATGATACCAAGGGTTAAATCTGGATCCTGAAATGAGAGAACTTTGTTAGGGGCAGAGAGGAATTCATTTAACCTCCATGGCATTTCCCCTGGTTGTTACAGCAGAGAAACAAATAGAATGTCATTGTGTTGAAAGCAGAGTGCCTGGGGCTGAAGGAGACATCTCCTGGTGGGGATGGCATCCAGCTCTGCTCTACAATTCCAGCCTGCCTGGGGTCTCCACTGTGGAGCCCCCACCTCTGCTGCCTGTGGTGTCTCCCACGATCCCTCTCCCTGCTCAGGAAAAAACTGCATTGCCAGAAATTCTTTTCCACCATGTTTGGGCAACAGCCAGTCCCAGCCAGGGGCAGTTGTACAAACTGTGCTGATTCAGACACACTCATTCTGCATTTCCCTGGATTCATCACTGACCCCATCCTGCATGGGCTTAGAGCACCTGCTCTGCCCCTTTCCCTAAGTCTGGGAGCATCCGGCTTTGCTCTGCTGCTCTGGGCACCCTGTGCCAGGGCCTGCCCACCCTGCCAGGGAACAATTCCCAAATCCCAGTGTCCCACCCAGCCCTGCCCTGTGGCAGTGGGAGCCATTCCCTGGCTCCTGTCCCTCCACCCTTGTCCCCAGCCCCTCTCTGGTTTTCCAGGGGTTCCTGACATCCCCTGCTGCCCCGAGCTCCATCCTGAAGCCACCCCTTACCGGGGTGCAGCAGCAGTGGTGCAGTGGTGGGAAATCACCTCTGCCCTCCCAGCCAGTGCAGACTGGCCGCAGCCAAAGGGGCCAGTGGGGCAGGATGGCTGGAGCTGGTGTGTGCATTCAGAGTGGCTGCAAAAGGCCACTGCCATGACACACAGTCCCCAGGCACAGGAACAAGACCCTAATCCGATTAAGGGGCTGATTCACCTGCTGTTATTCCTTTGCTGTTGTGCCCATCTGAAGGGATTTGAGGTTAAAGAGCTGCTGTGGGGATAAAACCAGCCATTAGAGGGATCAGTACAGGAGAGCAGCATGGAGTGGGCCTGGCTGAAAGGAAATTACTTCTGCCTCTCTTCCTCCTGTTTCCTCTGCCTTCCTCCTTCCCCCTCGGCTCTTTATGGCCATCATTAACCATCCATGAAAAGTCATCTTGCTCCCACTCCAGTAAAACCAGCCCCTGATGGGTCACAGGTGGGTCCAGGCTTCTCACCACGAGCTGTGCCTCTGCTTGTTTCAACAGGCTCCAGAAACCCAGCATTTACTAACCCCACTTAAAAAATAACATTAATGCTGCAGTTAACGCTCCTGTCCAGCTCTGTGTTTGATGTTGCCCTGCCTGTCCCAGGCTCACCCTCCTGCTGCCCCTCCCTGAGCTTTTCCCTGCTGCTGGTTCAGATGCAGCAGAAAAGCATCATTATCTTTTCCCTTTTAAAGCTCGGCCTTGCAGAGCTGAAGATGAATCTCCTATCAGAGATGAGTGCATTGCTAAGAAGAGCCCCAGATGCAGCCTGAGTTTTAATTTCAATGCCAGGAGTTCAGGCTGCAGAGAAGGAATAAATGCAGAGGCCACTGGGGCTGTTCATTGTCATCCCCAGCTGGGCGAGCAGCTGCTGGCTCAGGGGTGGGAATGCCTGCCTGGGAATTCGGGGCTGCACGTATTCCATCGCACTCCTTGAGCTCCGTAGGGTGAATTTGGACAGCCTCTGGGGCCCGCAGATCTCCTGCGAAGCACGGGTGTGCCGTGCAGGTGAGGAGCTCGGCCGGCCGATACCTTTATCTGCCGCGCACAGCCCCGCTGCTGCCCGGCTATCAGAGCCTGCCGGGCTGCCCGGGGCCTCTCCCAGCCGGCCACGGAACAAATCAATAATGCCTCCCAGAGCCCAGGGGCGAGGAGCTGCAGGGGACTGCAGCTGTGAGTGCCCAAGGGGGCCACGGTGACCGGCCGTGCCACCGTGTCTGCCTGAGATCACACAGTGCCACACTGGTGCAGCTGGGAGAGTCCTTCAACCTCATCAGTGCCACCCCTGCCACGCCAGGGACACCCTCCACTGTGCCAGGCTGCTCCAGCCCCAGTGTCCAACCTGGTCTTGGGCACTGCCAGGGATCCAGGGGAATCTGGGAATTCCATCCCAGCCCTGCCCACCCTGCCAGGGAACAATTCCCAATTCCCAATTCCCAATCTCCCACCCAGCCCTGCCCTCTGGCAGTGGGAGCCATTTCCCCTTGTTCTATTCTACCCTCCCCATGTAAGAAGTCCCTCTCCAGCCTTCCCAGATCAATGCACCAGTATCAGTCTGTAACTGGAAGATTTCAGGGTTCTGGATGAGAATTCTTAAACTGCCCAGTCAGACCCAAACCACAGATGTGAAGAGTCTGGGAATGGTTTGGGTTAGATAATGCCCAGTTCCAGCTCCCTGCACTGGGCAGGGACACATTCTGCCAGAGCAGGGTGCTCCAAGCCCCATCCTGCCTGGCCTGGAGCAATTCCATGTCCGTGGCTGTGTCTGGATGCCTGACACCTCCAGCATCCTGGCTTTGCCTGTGTGAGCACAGGGGCACAGCTGCACTGGAGGCCTGGAAACCAGGAAAACACCAGTGCAGGTGTCAGCCAGAGTCAGAGAATGGCCTGTAGCCAGACCTCGACCTGGTGGGAATGGGTGCTGCTGATGGGGCTGTGACAGGGCAGGGTCCTGCTGTCCTTGTGCAAGGCCGTGCATTCCAGCAGGGAGAGAGCCCTGGAGGGCTCACACCGGACAGAGCAGAGCAGAGGAGCCTGCTCACAGCTGCAGCCCACCCTGGCATCCCACACAGGTGATCCTGGGAACCTGGAGCTGAGGAGGTGACCTCTGCTTCACCAACACTGTCCCTGCAAGTGTCCAAGGCCAGGCTGGGAGAGTGGAAGGTGTCCCTGCCATGGCAGGAGGTGGAACAAGATGAGCTTTGAAGTCCTTTCCAACCCAGAGAGTTCTAAAGCACCTCTCGGAGGGGTCTGTGCCTGTTCAGGGAGGGGTGCAGTGTCCATGCCTGTGGTGAGCAGGCAGCCAGGGCTGAAGGAGGGAGAGATAAGAGGGTCCTGTGTCCTGGCCTGGCCTGTTAAGGGGCTCGCAGGGCTCTCCTTGGAGACCACACCTCACTGCAGAGTGACCACAGCATGGGGACCCCCGGGGGGACCCCCGCCCGTCCCAGCCAATGGCCCCCGCTGGGCAGGGCTGGCCCAGGGGATAAAAGCCGGCCCAGGCTCGGGCTCAGCTCAGCCCCGTGCCCTCCTGCAGCCCAGCAGAGCCGCCACCATGGTGCACTGGTCAGCCGAGGAGAAGCAGCTCATCGCCAGCGTCTGGGGCAGGGTCAGCGTGGAGGAGTGCGGCGCCGAGGCCCTGGCCAGGTGGGTGCAGCCCCGGCCCTGCCCGGGCACCTGCGGGCAGAGCGCGGCGCTCAGGGCGCTCTCGCTGCCTCTGTCTCTCCCCAGGCTGCTGATCGTCTACCCCTGGACCCAGAGGTTCTTCTCGGACTTCGGGAACCTGTCCAGCCCCACGGCCATCGTCGGCAACCCCAAGGTGCGCGCCCACGGCAAGAAGGTGCTCACCTCCTTCGGGGAAGCCATCAAGAACCTGGACAACCTCAAGGGCACCTACTCCAAGCTGTCCGAGCTGCACTGCGACAAGCTGCACGTGGACCCCGAGAACTTCAGGGTGAGCTCTCCTTGGAGCTTTATGCTCTGTCCCTCCTTTCTCGGAGCATCTCAGTGCCTGGGGGTTTCCAACAGGCATCAGTATCTTGTATTTTAGCTACCAAACAGGGCATGGCTGACCGGAGTGGACAAACACAGGGAGATTCTCTAAAAGTCTGGGGGCTTGTGCAGGCATGGCTGGAGAAAAGGAGGAGGATGTTGGCCTCTGCTTCAGCCTCTGTTTAAGCCTGGCTTTGGGGATGTAGAAGGTGAACCTTGCACTGACCCTCAGCTGAAGTAGGTGTGGGGTTTCACAGCAGAAAAAGGAGAGGCAGAAAAATGTCTAGTGGCTGGAAAATGTGAGAGGGAGCAGAGATGGGGCAGGTGGGCACTCATGCCCACAGCCGGCACAGGGCTCTTGTCCTGCAGCTGGCAGACCTTCCCTGGGCCACTGGGGAGCTGGGGTCCCTGTCCCGGGTGCTGTGCAGGGCGAGGGGGTGCCCAGCACTCTGCTGACCTGATTTCCCTCTTGCCTTCCCCTCTGCAGCTCCTGGGTGACATCCTGGTCGTCGTCCTGGCCGCCCACTTCACCAAGGACTTCACCCCTGCCTGCCAGGCCACGTGGCAGAAGCTGGTCGGGGTGGTGGCCCACGCCCTGGCCCGCAAGTACCACTGAGGCTTTGAGAGGCACCTGTGTCTGTAACGGGCAATAAAAACCACCTTTTCTGGGATTCTTTGTGTTCTGTGTCTCTGTGGCTGCCTGTGGGCCCTGCGCCTCTCCTGCTGGGGTGTTTGCAAGGATATAAATTCACAGAGATTCACTGATCAGGCAGAAATTTACCCCTCCATAGTTTGCTACTGAGGTATTAAGTTGATCAAAAGCATTTTCTGCATCAGTGATGAAAACTGGTGCATATTGGCCAGAGTTTGATATCTGAAATGTGTGAGATCCCAAGAGCAGGGGATGAGGGCAGCTCTCACACAGGATGGGTTAGAGCCCTTTTTTGCTCATTTTGGTTTAATGGAAGCACATCTTTTCGCTGGAGTTGAAAGATTCTGTGTAAGCATCACAGTTGCAGCAATGTTTTTTCAGGACCCGCCTAAAAAGCAACAAGGAGGGACATGTTGGTGTCTCACAGTGATGAAACCCTTGTTTTGCATTATTTAGGATTAAATGTTCTGCCTTTCTCCTGATAGAGCAGGGATGTGCACTTCAGCCCTCTATCCTGCGCAGCCAGGCAGGCAAAGGCCCAGCCCTGCCAGCAGCACCGAGGGGCTGGGGGAAAAGAATTAGGGAAAAAAGCCCAAAATCTGAATCCAGCTTCCCTGCAGCACAGCTTCTCCTCTCACCCTTTCAGCAAAGGGGCATTTTGGCAGGATTGCAGGAGGTGAGGGCATTCTCTACGTTCTGCTCCAGCCCAGAGCTGTGGCATTTTCCAGCATGCAGGGCTGGATGGGGGTGCAGCCTGCAGCACCCCAGGCCTGGGGCTGTCCAGGGCTGGGTCAGCTCCCAGGGTGGTGGCCGGGGACCTCAGCAGGGACTTTCCACCTCAGTGAATGGTCTCATGGGGGTCATTCTGCTGCTCCTCTCCTCTGGGCCCGTCCCAGCGGTGCGGTGGAGCACGTGCTGCTCTCTGACCAGCACCCACACAGCCCTGTGGTCCAGGGCTAGGGCCAGGGACAAGGGTGCGGTGCCTGTGTCACACAGCCAGCGTGTCCCACTCTCCCAGGGACAGCTGTCCCCCTCTGGGGTGACAGAGCAACGTCGCAGCTACCGCCAGCCCACCTGGCCCAAAAACAGGTCAGGGGAGTACAGGAGAGCCCTGGATGCAGTATGCCCCTGGATGCAGGATGCCGCTGGATCCCTGGCAGTGCCCAGGGCCAGGTTGGACACTGGGGCTGGAGCAGCCTGGGACAGTGGGAGGTGTCCCTGCCATGGCAGGGGTGGCCCTGGGTGGGCTGTGAGGTCCCTCCCAAAGCAAACCTTCTGGGATTTTAAAATAGGAGCAAAGATAACCTCAGGACCTGTTGGCTTAAGACACAAGGCCCTGCGCTCTCTGGAGGAGCGTGGAGGCTGGCGTGGCTCCAGAGCAGAGCTGGGCACAGATGCCACTGCTGCTGATAAGGGCTCTGTAAAGCTTGGCGGGGACACTGCTGCAATCAGGGACCAAGGAGCTCTGCTTGGGGCAGGAGGGCCCTCGCTGGAGCTGCCTTTGGCCCTCTAAAGGAGACAAAGTTCTTGTCCATGGAAGGGGGCAAGTGTGTGGCCAAGACCTGGACCAGTAGAAGGTTCCCTGCTTATGGCAGGGGAGATGAAATGAGATGTTCTGAAGATCCCTTCCAACTTTAACCATTCCATGATCTCGTGGTTCCAGGAGTTCAGAGATTTTCCACCCACACCAAAGGGAACATCCCTGGAAGGATGCTGGAAGGAAGGGTCCTGAGCGTAGTGAAATCCATCCCAGGCTGAGAGCAGAGCTGCTTTTCTTCTGGGAACCAGCTGGGAAGAAGCTGTCAGGTGTTGCTGGGCTTGCCCTGGGGAAAGGAGATCTCCCTTTGACTCTGCAGACACAATGAGAGCTAGAGGAATTGTCCCTGCTCAGCACATGGGGATGAACATTTCCCCTCCCAGCCTGTGTCCCAGAGAGCTCCCTGAGCAGGCACTCCCTGAGCCCCCGAATCTCCTAGCCAGGCTGCTGCCCCCAAGGCAGACAGCAGGGGATTTTCAAGCACGCTGAGAATTATCAATTTCTTATAAAATCGAATGGAGCACCAGGGTGAGCCCAAGGCTGGACTGTCTGGGCTGTGCTTGCCTTTGGTTCTTGCCAGGTCTCACAGGGTCCAGGACTGCTCAGAGCTGCTGCAGTCCTGGCCAGGCTCACCCTGCCATCCTCACAGGCACCTGGGGGCTGTGTCTGCCTCCCTGGGACCTTGTGCCACTGACGGTGCTGTGGACCAGTGGCCCTGCTGCAAACAGCCTCTGGGCCAGCCCAGCACAGCAGAGTGCCTTCAGATTTATCCACGGCTCAATAATCTTCACATTTAGAAGCCCTTGGAATTCTTTCTCTGGGAGTTTAAACTGATGTTTTAGCTTCTGCCAGCTGGTGAGCGCCCTGGGCACAGACGCAGCTGCTGGAGAGGCTCTGGGTGCCCAGGGAGGCTGTGGCTGCCCCGGCAGTGCCCAGGGCCGGGTGGAGCAGCTGGGACACTGGAAGGTGTCCCTGCCCATGGCAGGGGTGGCACTGGATGGGCTTTAAGGTGCCTCCGGACCCAGACTGGGATTCCATGATTCCGTGCAAAGCGCCGTGAAGGATTCTCTTGGCAGGAGGGGGTGTTCCCCAGCAGGGACACAGCCCTGGAAGCCCCAGCGGGCCGGCAGCTCCACCTGTGCTCAGGGCTGAGGTGATGCTTGTCCCTGCACGGACAGAGGGGGGAAAGGGCCTCTCTCCCCCTTGGACAGCTTCCAAACCCACTATCTCCCCTCGTGCAGCCCCGCTCCCTCCCCAGCCCCAGGCAGTGAACCGTGGCTGAGATTAGCCCGAGCCGTGTATAAAAATCCCTGGGGCGGCCTTGGGAGCCACGTCCTCGGCATCGTTCAGGGAAGCCCGGGAACTCTCTGCTGGCACCATGGTGAACTGGACAGCCGAGGAGAAGCAGCTCATCACCGGCCTCTGGGGCAAGGTCAACGTGGCCGAGTGCGGCGCCGAGGCCCTGGCCAGGTGGGTGCAGCCCCGGCCCTGCCCGGGCACCTGTGGTGGAACCACTCCTGTCGCTGGAACATCGACGTCTCTGTGTCTGTCTGTGTCCCTCCACCTCTCCCCAGGCTGCTGATCGTCTACCCCTGGACCCAGAGGTTCTTCGCCTCCTTCGGGAACCTGTCCAGCCCCACGGCCGTCATCGGCAACCCCATGGTCCGTGCCCACGGCAAGAAGGTGCTCACCTCCTTCGGGGAAGCCATCAAGAACCTGGACAGCATCAAGAAATGCTTTGCTCAGCTGAGCAAACTCCACTGCGACAAGCTGCATGTGGACCCCGAGAACTTCAGGGTGAGCCACGCTCAGCTCCAGCCTGGGCTGGGCAGAGGGGCTGGGCTCTGGAGGGGTTTCAGGGGTCTCAGAGGGGTCTGCCAGTCACTGAGACCTCGAGAGAAGCCCTGGGGCTGCCTGAGAGCCCGTGGAGGCTAGGAGCAGTGGAGGGAAGGGACAGTCATGTTCGGGGGGAACAGAGAGGAGTTATGGGGCTGGGACCTGTGAGGGGAGGCAGCCAGGCAGGCGAGGAGAGCGGGCAGAGATGCACAGACCGTGTGTCCTGGTCAGCAGAAACACCCTGGAGCAGCCAGAAGGGAAGAGCTGACGCGGGCTTTAGAGGGAAGGGCTGAGCTGGGCTGTGAGGCAGTGGTTGAACCAGAAGGGAAAAAAGCACAGCCACTGTGGCAGGAGGGCTCTGAGCCCAGGGACAGCCAGGGCGGGAGGGATGGGAAGGGAAGGGAAGGGAAGGGAAGGGAAGGGAAGGGAAGGGAAGG